AATGTATGTAATGAATATGAATATGAATGTTTCTTTTTTTTTTTTTTAATGACGATTAGGCGATCAGAATGTACACGCCACTAATAATACAATAAGAATCAAAATTTTGAAGTTAAAATCTTATGATTCATTCTTTCTTACGGTACATAGCTACAGATTGTAACATTTTAATATTTTTCTCTTTGGTATGCTTCCCCGTTTTTCTCTCATAATGACGGCTTATTGTTATACTAAATGCAAACTTTTGAATATAATATTTCTCAATAAAGAATAATTCTATTTCACTCTATCAATATCGTGATTTTTTCTTTTTAATTTTCACGTGATTGTGGATCACATAATGTCTATAGTAATTTATGTCGTTGAAACTATTATCGCTGGTGTCTTTTTTGAAAAACGATTGTATAATTGAATTTATTTTTTAAAGTTTACATTTGTGATCTGTACTTTTCGAATTGTATATATTATATGCATACGTCAATTTTTGTTTCTCCAGTTATTTATGCCTATCATTTCTTATTTATCTCGTTACAAAGCGCATACAGTACATCTGTGTCAACTTTTCCTTATATGTTGCGACTGTTTCCTTTGGACTTCTTGATGATACGGAATTCACAACGGAGTGTTACAATTAATTTGAATTCTAACTTAAATTAGGATACTCGGAGTTCTCTTTTATATTTGATAATTCTTGTTCATTCGTTCTATCGAATCCCACATACAGTATATCTATCAGCAAATACAATGACATCAAGTAAAATTTCGCCGTGGAAAGAGACATTAAAATCGATAATTGCGGAAAGTATTAAGGAAACAAATTTGTGCCCACCAATGCAGGTAATAATCAGAAATGTTTTGATCAATCAACAAGAACCTACGAATCAATCGTCATTCCTTGATTTAGCTGTCAACCATAAACCTAAACGTAAAAAGACCCGCAAATCGAAGTGTAATGTTTCGCGGTTTTCTCGGAGAAAATCAAGGGAATTGGGAGGAGGAAAGGAAAATGGAAGAATATCTGACCGAGGTGACATCTTCGGTTTTAAATCCGAAGTTTGAAAGTGACTTATTGACGATTACTACTGATGTGAGATCAACCAAAGTTTCACAGTTATTGAAAAATTCAGAATTTGAGATTTGCTGGTAAGTACGTTTATTTCGTCAAATATGGGCTCATAACCACGTATTGTTCACTAGGTTTTTTGCTCAAAGGTGGTTTCCTTCAACCGGAGATCAATTTCGATTATCCGGGAACGCATACATCTTACCATCACCTTCAAATCCACTGTACAAGGATTTTCATTCAACGAACCTACTCTCTCCTTATCTTAGTCAAGTAATTAAATTTAATTGGGAACAAGAACGTATGAAGTATTGGTATAAATGTTCGTCAGAAATACGCGCAACATTTCTAAGGCCCCCACCAGGACAACCTATCCTATTAGAGCCTGGTGAGACAGAAAAGCAATATTTGCGCCAATTAAATGCAATAAGCACAGATGAGGAGGACAAGGAGTTGGTTAAGCAGGCCTTGGAAAATTTTGGAATTGTTATATTTAAAGTGTATTTTGTAGATAGAGTTGAATTATACTGTGAGAATCATAAGAGGACCACGTGGCAATTGAAAAAGAGTGACATTGGAAATGACGGTGAAGAAGAAGAATGGGTCGAACGAAGCGTATATCCTTGATACAGAAGAAAGAAATTCCAAAAGAATATTTTATACTTCAGCTGAATCTTCTCGTCATTAAAAATCAATACAGTTAGTTATCTTTCTTTTTAAATTAAATATACTGTGCTCAAAAGAAATACAATACATATATTTAACAAGTTACATTAATTTGATAACCATAAAATTACATCTTATGTTCTTTAGTAGGAATTTTTTAAGAGCTAATAATTTCAAATTACTTATATACAGTGTCTTACATACAGTATACATTTCTTTTGTAAAATCAAATTCTTGTTATGTTGTATATTGCTATGTACATGTAACTAGTCATACAATAATTTTATTGCAAAACAAAAAATTTGAAACTTTTATCTTAAAATAAGATATGATTTTTTGAATGAGAAATAATACATACATTCTAATTTATTAAACAACATCCTGAATAATTTTTTTGACAAAAACAAGTGATTATATAACATGGATGGTAACATGGATGGCATTTACAATCATAAATTATAAGTAAATATGCCGCGCTGACTTAAAATATATTTGATGGAATAAGGCATACTGATAAAACTCAATTACACATGGTGTAAGGTGGAATTCAAAACTTGTTGACCTAAAAATATCACCTCTTTTATTTGTTCTTGGGAGTCATCTTGCAATGTCAAATCATTTTGGTCCTCATAGTAAGTTGTAGCTGTATTTTTGATACCAATGAGAATTTCTTTTTCAATTAAGTCAGAAGATCGTGATATTCTGGATATAATAAGGAGGCACAACAACAAAGTATTTGCTAAAAGTATTGATTGGTTTCTCTGCGAGGAAGGGTAACCCTCGGATTTTAGTTTAGGACCTAATTTATTATTATTATCGTAGAAAACAAATTATACATCCACATTCAACGTTATAGTTGCAAGTAATGTAACATCTTACCGAGAATTCTTAAGATTTGGTGTCCAGTATTGATTACTGATAGGAGCTCTTCTTCATTCTTGACAACAAAGTCCTCTTTCTCCGAGACCATAATGTTCAGTAGAACTTGAAACGGGCCCAATAAGTTATCAACCATTGCGTTTGTTATTTCATTCTTATTTTCTATATGCTGCCAAAACTCAATTAAATAATTAACCATCAACTGATGTCCTCCGTGAGAAGAGAAAGTCGAACGTGGTTGATCTTGCGATGTCAAGTTCAGGAAAGCAGGTGTCAACATTCGAATAAGGTTCACTTCTGAATGACTTTCAAAATAACATGATAAACATAATCTAACTTCAATATCGAAATTTTAAATAAACATCACAACAATTGCACATACCAGCGGTGACACATATCAATTAAAAAAGGGATCACTGTTACAACTTCTTTTTCTAGTGATCCTTCCTCAGCGAGCCAAACGGAAAGGACACGAATGCTGGCCACCGTTTTGTCATCCTCTAGAATCGATTCGACAGAATTCATAACATCCTGATCATATATATAATTAAGATGTATAATGATTTGGGATACTCAATATCTAAAAGAAGTTCATACCTTGATATTCAACAAAT